TAAGCAAACTGCCTATGTCTCAGTCTTGCATCTTGAAGTTCTTCACTCTTGCAAAATCTAAAACAGCCAGTACCACAGTATTTTCAGTTACATATTACAATGCTGGACACATTTAAGTTTTAAAGAATTACAATTGCAAAATACAACTGCAAAAAAAGTCTTCACTACTGTATGTGTAACAAATGGAATAAGGGGTATGCTATAGCTGACCATAAAAACATTTGGGATTTCCGTAAAATGTTATGCGGAAAACTTGAATCCTATAGCTAACATAATAATCCTAATATAATAATATATAACATCCTAATATGCTGATGGGGCATTCTATGCTGGAGACAGAATTCTATCTTGTCTCCTGCTCTCTTGTTTTTAGTCCTTGTTTTACTTAATTCTTCCTAATTCTAATCATTTTGCATTACCTTTTTATCATTTTGTAAGTTGCTCAGAGTCACTGCCATAATGAAATGGTTGATATATAAATGTAATAAATAATAAACAAATGCTAAAGAAATATAACTATGGGAATATTTCTACCCATGTAAAGCCAAAACAATGAGTGAAGCATTCTGTAAACACCTGAAAGAATCCATATGATTTATGATAAATTCCTATTTTCTAGAAGTGCAGACAACCCTGTTTCTTGCTGGCAAAATTGTGAGGAATCTATAATGCTTTTTCAACAAATGTTTTAAAAACATTTGTACCTTCTGATGTAAATACTAATTGCTTACCCCATTATGAATTTATCACCTCCAAAATTTCCTCAATAAAATATATCCTAAGTCTTGTCTTCATCACACTGTGCAGCTTTTTACACTTAGATAATAGTAGCTCAGCAAACTTACTTTGCCACTGCATCTTTTGGTCTTTTCTTTAACTGTTGCCAAATTAGATTTGAACCATGTGTTTAGCATATGTATTGTACAGGAAGACATTATCCCAAGCAAAAAAAACACACCAAAAAACCCTCTAGCTTTCTGGGTGTCATTGTCATCCCTAGTTTAATTATGTCTTCATCCTTCATCTTTTACAGGCTATCTTTTCAAACGTTTTTTTTAATCTTATCTGTCTATTTAAGAAAAATGTACAATTCTACATTTTTAACATTGCTTTCCTATGGATTTAAACTGTTATACAAGAGAGAGAGAGAGAGAGATAAACAATAGAATGTAACTTTATAATATTAATTATAATATTAATGCATTTAATGCTAATTAACATTTTATTTAATCACATCTTTAAATTGAAGAGACTATAATTGCAAATAAAAATTAGTATTTATTTTAGCCCCATTTTAATTGTTTTGTAAATAAACTCAAGGCAACAAACATAGTTAGTACTCCTTCCTCCTTTTATTTTCCCCATAACAACCACCCTGGGAGGAGAGTTGAACGGAGAGAGACTGGCCCAGCTCTATAGAGAAAGAGCAATAATCATTCTATAGAAATAAGATATGTAACATAATTAAATTAGGTTTCAGATTAAATTAATCAAATTAATCAAACTTCTATTATTTCATTAAAACTTTACTAACTATATAATTCTACCTTTTCACCATTTGCTATACTTATGTTTTTAGAGTATCATTATAAATCATTATACATAGGTAGTCCTTGACTTATCGACCAGAACTGAGCTTGGAGTTTAGGCTTGATTTAAAGACCATTTTTGTGATACTCATTAAGGAATCATGTGATCATAAGTCAGAATGCAACTTATCCAATGCATGTTTTTTCCTTGGAAAGTGGCAAAAAGAAATCGCAAAATGCATTCACATAACTCAGGGTGGCTTGAATTGTAAATGCAAGCCAATTGTCAAATACCTGAAATGCAATCTCATAACTATGAGGGTGGTGTTGCAGTCAAAACTTCAAGGATGGGTCTTAAGTAACTTTTTTTAAAAATGTGACATAACTTAAAACAGTTAAGTGATAGTTCAGAAGTTGAGGACTGTCTATATGCATTTGAGAGGAAAATAAGTTATTTTGATTTATTTGTAAGGTTTCTTCAAATAACAAGCTGTATTAATTGGCTGCCTTAATTTTTCTGCATGAAAACATTTCCTAAACATTTGATTCTATATTAGCTCTTAATATAAATATAAGCAACGGATACTCTGAAACTATATTCTCTTACACAGAACGAACTGTAAACAATAGTTTTAATATTGAGTCAATGCAATTCAGAGGACATAGCTAATTTCAGGCATCAGTACCTTTATTTTGGATTTTGCTATCCAGATTACATGATACAGGTATGAAAAAAGACAACCCTTGTACAAATTGCACAGATCAATACTTTTGCCATACATTGTTCTCCAATAGGAAAAGCATTATGACTTCAAAATGGTCTTACTTATTTATGTCCTATCTTTTATAAATGATTTCCTGAAAATTTCCCACTGGAATATGGTCCTTATCTGGTCTGTCTTTAGTCCACAAAATCATATGTTGCAATGGGACAGGAAGATTGCTGAGAAGCTAAATCAGGTTTGTTTTTTTGTTTGCATAGGATAGACATTTGTATTTGAACAATGTTTAGTTTTAATAAGTAAATTCCAGGCAGTATATTCCAGGACTATTCAACAATTGCAGTTTTGGGGTTAGTATCCAGCTGAGATGTTTTGTTGAACCAGACATTCTCCATTTTTGATGCTTTTTACATTGTTATCTTGCTTCTTAGCAAGGTATCACCTAGCGGAAGTGCTTGCACTTGCAAAAAATTATAGTTAGCATTACTCATGTTTGATTGCACTCATAAATTGATTTATCATACTTTTCCTATTGGTAATGCATTTTAAAAAGTATTTAAAAATTATACAAGTAGTAAATTCATACAAGTGCTAGCAGTCTTATTAGAAACTGTTGTTAATATTATAGTACAGATAGTCCTCACTTACTGACCACAATTGTGACTGGCAACTCATTTGATAAGCAATGCAATTGCTTAGCCATAAAGTGAAAGATCAATGTGATCATGCCTGACTTATATTATCAATACTGACAGTGGTCATGAAAAAAAAATCACCCACAATCATTAAGCACAATGTTATGTGACCACTTATGACTTCCTACCAGCTTTCTCATTGAAGGTCTCAAATCGTGATTATGTGACCTCAGAAAGATGTGTCCATCATAAATGTGTGCTGGTTGCCAAGCACTCAAATTGCAATCATGTGATTGCGGGGGCGCTGCAAAGGCCGCAAATTCAAGGACTAGTCATCAATCTCCTTTTTTTCAGTATTGTCATAACTAGAACAGTTGCTGAACAAGCAGTTGGTAAGCAAGGACTAGCTGTTTTTGCAGGATTGCTTAATTGATGATTCAGGAAATGAAGTTAAAAGCTTTATAGTAAAATAATTCTTCAGTTCAGGTACATATGGGGAGAATCAAGGCCATTGAGAACCTAGTAGACCTTTGGTTCAGTTAAGTCTTTTGCTAAAAGTAATTTCAAGTAGCAAGTGCAAATAAAAATTCAGCAAAATAAGTTTTTTTATGAAGGAACACAAAGAACAACCTGATGTCTGCCAAAATACAATTAAAAAACAAACCGAAGAGGCAAACTTCCCCATCCCCACCTCAAAGCCCAGTGACAATTAAATATGATGAATATTTACAAACTGTTGGATTTCTGTCAGAAAGAAAAAAATGGCGTGGAAGGGAAGAGGGGCAAGTCAGAGTCAGGTAAGAATGTAACAATACTGGTTCCTAATTGGCAGTAGCCCTTAATAGAAGAATACCTGCACTAGTTGAGGATAAATGATAACATGTTGTTGAACATCTGATTTGACACTTCTTAAATCTGATATATTACTACGGTGTTTAACAACTATTCCAAAACAAAAATAAAAGCCAAAATATTATTTTTAACACATCCAGGGGAGAATAGAAAATAGCTTGGTAGAAAGGTATCAACTGCATTTGCTCAGCTCAGTTTACCCTATAGAAAACCTCAGTACAGGTGGTGAGACCAATGAATTCTAAAAGGGAAATATTAAATGTATCTCACCATGTAGTAATATATAAAAGAGACAAACCTGGAGCCTTACACACAGTAATTTGGAAGAAGTCTCCCATTAACTTAATTTTGAACTATTATGGATAGCGACTGATTTATTTACACAAACATAGAAACAGAACATAGAAACAGAAATTGTAACTGGGTTTTGGGGTGGGGATGGGTAAGTTTGCCTCTTCAGTTTGTTTTTTAATTGTATTTTGGCAGACATCAGGTTGTTCTTTGTGTTCTTTTATAAAAAACTTATTTTACTGCATTTTTATTTGCACTTGCTACTTGAAACAACAGAAAACTAGAAGTTGAAATGAGACTAAGAGGTCCTCAGCTATATTGAGGACAGTCCACAGATAAGATTTTAAAAAGTCAAGATGGCAACAGTGACTATCCAATCAAAGTCTTGTCCTTTTCTTCCATCTGTGCAATGTGATATGCATATAAAAAGGGCGGCAAAAGTTTAATCATACAGATAGAGCTTACATCTTGATATTTTGACCCTACAGCCCCCACACAGAGATGCTTCTGACTGTAATAAATGACAGATTTTAAAATACACCACAAGTTTTAACCAAATTGGGAATTTTCTATCTTTCTCTGTCAGTCTATATCTCTGTGGAATACTGTTATTTACCCAATTTTTCTGAGGCCTCATTATTAGCCAGTGCTGTCTATAGATGCTCCTCAGTCAGGACATCATCATTGAAGAAAAGCTTTATATTTTATAAAATTCCTGCTTTTAAATAGTCAACCGTATTGCTCTGATATAAATTGCTATAAAGACTGCAGTGATTTGTTCTATGCCTGGATAGCAATACAAGTGCTTTCCTTGTACCAATGCTATAGTGGGTGAAATAGTCCATACTTTGGTCCCTGCACCAGCTACAGATTGCATCTAAATTTTCTTTGGTCTCACAATAATAAATAAAGCACTTTATTAGTACTTGTCATGCTAACCACCCTTTTATTTTATGATTTGCTGTTTCCAGGGCACAGACAGAAGCTTGATGACTCTAAACCTAGTTTGTTCTCTGAACGTCTCAGTGATTTAGGGCGCATTCCTCATTCCAGTATGAGAGTAGGGGTCCCGACACAGAGCCCACGGCCCCCCTTGAACTCTGCACCAAGCCCTTTTAATCCACAAGGACAGAGTCAGATTACAGGTAAGAGACAGAGCCATGGGCTTGTACAGACCATGGTAATCACTGATTGTAGGTCTTCTGTTGCTTCAAACTGGAGAAGGATGTTGCCAAATAAAAGCATAAACAAATGTAAATTACCTGGGATAGTTTTTATTTTTTGTAGTATTGATTACTGGGACCTTTTAGATTATTCTTTCTGATTTGAAATCAACATTAAAAGACATAATAAAAACTAAAAAAAAAGTTCATGTATTCATAAAATATATTTGACTATTCCAGTGGGATATATTTATTTAGGATAACTTGCATAGCAGAGTAACTTTCCTCAAATATTACTTTAACACATGTATCCAATGTACAATGCCGAGAGTCACTCTGGATAGTAAGATAGGTGGCATTTAAATTTAATAAATAAAATTATCCCAATGTCCAATTATAAACCACAATTATGAATCAGCCAGCATTTAAAAGTTATAGACATTTCATCAGCTTGCAAGCCAGAATGGATTTCATTGTCTGAAACATTATGTACAGAAGTAAGAAAATTCTAAGGAAATTGATGGTTCCTTAAAAAAGGAGATAAACTTAATAAGTAGTTGTTTAAAGTTTAAAGTTCACAATTTTCACTGTCTTCCATTTAATTATATCTAGCTTATTGAGTAGACCTAAACTACATTATTTCCACTGTACCGATTACTTGTGAAAAATAGGTTTTAGAACTATCTAAAAGTTACCTTTTGTGTAACTTGTATCTGTTTGCAGATCAAGTCAATTGAAGTTCTGAAAACATATTTTCTTTGAAGAAGTTTGAAGGCTATTTGAACCCCAGGCAATCAACTTTCACTGTAACCTATTCATATATTACTTATTTGTAGGGCATTTATAATGTCAGTGATAGAATCTGCATTCCTGGTTTTCCCAACATTATTCTCCTACAACTCTACATCATGGCATTCTGTAGTGAGCACAAAAGTTTTAACTAGGGTTGCCATAACCTGGACATCTGAGTTTTAAAAATGTGTGTCTGTGTTTGTGTGTATGTATGTAGCTAGATAGAGGTAGAGATGGTAGTGTTGTAGATTTGTATGGTTCAGTTCCAATATTCATACATTCTCCTGCAGTAAACAACTCAATAATAAAATACATTAAAATATAAGTAAAAAAACCAAAAGGGATTATTAAAAATGTAAATTTATCTTCTCAGGGTAACATTTTACACTGTGAAGGTGAGGTCACCTGGAAAGTCTTTTCTCATACATTCGTCAACCACTGTTGAAACAAGGAGAAGTGCTTCTCCACCAGATTTTCATCTTCAAAGAATTCTAAGCTTTTGCATCACTAATGACTTGAATTCTGATTAGAATTTAAAATGAAAACTGATGTAGCCCTTGCAAGTATACAGTGTGATCTGTAAGTGTGTACCCAACATCATCCGGGCATCTTTAAATCATGAACCTGATTCTTCCAGGAGATCACCTCCCCATTTAAGGCAGGTTGAAGTCCTTCTAGAATCTGTACATCTCTGGACCAAAAACATTCCAGTATCAGCCTAGAGTAAGTTTCAGTTTAACCAGCTTCCAGAGTTGTGGTATTAAAAAGTTACTTGGATTCTACTACTACATGCTTGTTCTGTGTATTTCTTCTTTATTTAAGAATGTAAGAATTTTACTGGATAAGGACAATAATTATTCTTCTCCACTATTGGGTGTCACATAGTGACTAACCAGATGAAGGTATAAGAGGATAATTGTCCTCTTCCACTTTTGCGTCTTAGAAACTGATATTTAAACAGTTTAAGGTAGTTTACAATCATCCAAACTGGTGATCATTAAAAGACCAGTTCTCCATATATTCACCAGTCCCATGGAAAAACTCTCTAAATTGCTGTTCCTTACCTAATTTCATTCCATCAATCCACAATACAGCATGGTTTTGAGGAAAGAAGTATATCTGTTTATATCCTTTCATCTAATCACAGAGGATATTTCTGAGGGTTAACAGTGAGAAAGGAAGAAAACAATATTTCTATCCCTATTTTCTATACTATATTCATATCCTACTATCAAGTCTTCCGATGCCTATTTTCACATAAACTAAAAAAAAAAAGTTTTCCAAGAAACTACTCTAGATCCTTAGCTGCTTTGTCAGTCCTTTTTCTGTACATTTTCCAGCAATTCCCATCCTAAGGACTCCAGACATAGAATATACCTTTTTAGCAGAGTCACAAACCATGGTAATGTATCATGGAGCTTTTCATCTTAAGATTCCCTTCCTGACAAGCCAGCTTCTATACTACTAATTGTGTGAAGTTTGAATTTTTAGAATTCATATACATTATTTTCCACTTGCTTACATTAAATAATACTTATTTTGCAGTTTACCATTGACAGTCTTGACCATGCTATTGATTCATTTACAATCTTGGCCATTGATGTAGATCATTTTTTAAGGAATCTCTCCAATGTTGATTAATGTTGAACCCACTTTACATATCACTTCAAGGTGAAAATTGCTCATTAATTCTTAGTTTTGTTTTCCTATTTTGTAGCCAACTCATAACCCATGACAACATACTTCTCCACAGGTTTCGATGAGGGACTTCTAAAAGGTTTTATGAACTATGTAAATGCCAAAAGGTGCAACTTTTAGTATCCTAGTCTAAATATCTGCACATGTTTAGCTATAAATACATAGTTTATTCTTAGTAGGTATTATTTTTACTAGCCTTATTTATTTATTTAATAAAACTATATTAAAAATGAAGACAAGTTTCTTGACTTCAAGTGATGATTGTTTCATTTCATCACAAAGTTAATGTCTTACAAGTTTTGCAATGTACTAATATACCTTGTTCCTTTTTTATTTTATTATTTTGGTAGAAAATCTCCTGCTAGCCTGGGGTTAGCAGCATACTGCATTTTATTTTATTTTATTCTATAGATCAACAGCAGTACATTAAAATCTTGTAACCAATAGTTGTTTATCTGAATGGTATCAAAAACATAACCCTAGGAATTCACTATCAATTCAGGCTAGCTAAACAGTAGCAGTAAATAAATCACATCCAGATTAGATGACAGAGGTCATGCTACTTGGCAAAAGAGAGCAATTTGTATTGTAAAGAATTCTTATTCTCTGTTGAAATACTCATTGGCTTTCTGGGATAGTGATGATTTCCGCTACACTCTGAAATTTTTATTTTAGTTCTGACTGTGTTGTTTTTTGTGTTCAGTGCTGAAAATTCAGTGGGCGAGGCAACCAGAAAGGAAGAACATGAGCAGACTGAATAAAATGCACTGTTAGGCACTCAATGTGATTTACTTGTAGAAAAGAAAAAAATACTTCACTTTATAGTATAATAAAAGTATTACTTTCAATAAAATTATCTGCAGTCAGGTTAAAACATTCCACCGCACCCTGGCTAATTTTACAGTACTTCTCTGTGATGATAGGGTAATTGTACCAAAACCAAACCTTTCTTATCTTTATAATAAGTTCTCAACTGTTTAGTTTAGTAGAGGGGTGGCGGGGGACTTCCTTTCTTATTAGTATCGGGATGATTCCATGGAATTTTTAAAGGTAGTACAATGGTCATGCAAGATATAAATGGAAAGCCTATAATGAAACTGTGGTTTACAACCATGTTCTGAGGATCTGGAGTTCCCTGAGAGGCTCCTCAATGAGAATATGTATAATTAGGCAATCTTTTCTGAATGACAACTTCTCCTACAAAGCTTTCGGTCACAGCTTAGTGGAATGAAGGAAATATTAGTAATTGAATATTACCTCCTCAGAACATATCTCAGAAGCATATGGATTTTAAAATGATTGGTGCAAAATGTTTATTTGAAAGTATACAATTTTGAAAAGTACTTTTCCAAGCTAATTAATATAAATTGTCAAAATACATCTTTTTAGCACTTAATGCCTCCTTAGGGTTCCCCCCTCCCCTTTCCATTCAATCTTGTCAGTTTCTTGGAGACTGCCTGGAGAAATCTCTGCAGTTTTCTTGGCAAAACTTTCAGAAGTGGTTTGCTATTGCTTTCTTTCTAGGCTGAGAGAAAGTGACTACTCCAAGGTCACCCAGTGGCTTTTGCCTAAGGCAGGACTAGAACTTTGGGTCTCCCAAGTTTCTAAACTGGCATTAAAGTTCCACAATTAAACCTGAAACCTGGCATCTTATGCTGCGAATGAAAGCTAGATGTTTACAGGATACCTTAAAACTTGGAATAAGGCTGACTGAAAAATAAAGAAACTTCATTCTATGTATATTGCTGCTAAAATTATGATGCATGTTATTACACAACATATATACCTGCATATTTATATTTGACATACCTTCAAAACTTGAATACAGCCCAGCAGAGAACTATTGTGGCTTGAAAAGTGCCTGCCAAATCCCAAATTTTTACATTCTCAGACAGGAAGCAAAACCAAGAGGCTTTTACAAAATCCTAGTAGTCAACCAATCATCCCTAGTGAGTCACAGGTTGATCTTATTATGAAATGCATTATTGGCATGTTAGGAAAATTGGTCATTGGTTCATTATAAGAATAAGCATAGGTACTATTTAATCCCAAGTCAAACTGCATATTTTTATCAGAGAAGTAGATTTACCTTTAAGTTTGTTTTCAGCAAAGTCTGCTGATGGATTTATTTTCTCTTGTCAGACTCCTTGAGGTGGAAACTATGCTTATTATCTGTTCAAATTGTTTCATGATCTTAGGAGTCCATTTTTAACATAAGTGATCACATTATGCTAGTTTCAAGAATAGTATCATGTCATATAAATATACTTCAGCAAAGCACACTCTTTATTGTATTTCCGTGGTATCTCTTATTTGCTAATAGCATATTTACACTGAACACTTAGCTTGTCAATCAGCACATGGAAAATATGCAAAGTGGAAAAAATATGTCACTTGTGGATATAATATTTTTATATTTAAAAAAAATGTCTGAGAGAAATAATATATGAACAAACATAATTGTGAATCCAATTGTTAGGATTAGGTGTCAT